GTTCCTGCTATCTCTGAATCATATAAGTTAAGTCCTTTTGGCTCTTAGGGACAGCAGGTAGTTATATTAAACATTGTCTGGCTGCCATTTTTTTGGAAAATAACCAATGGAACCCAAAGTTGACAGGACTGCAGCTGTGATTATATTTCTGCAACCATTTCCTGGCACCAGACCACGTTTCCAGGATTCTAAATTAGTGACCTAAATGCACAAATATAGATGAGTTTACATCAAGTCAGGTAGAAGGCGCATCACCTAACTAATTTGCAGGGATGGCCAGGGGCAGGTAAACTGACCCACAAATCTCTTTCAATGCAATCCAGTACTTTACATATCTTGTTTATTGGAGTAAAGCATTGATCTGATAGTTTTGTAGGTTTAACCACCAAATAACCCCAGATTAAATTCTTGATAACATAGTGCAGCATTGTTCAATCTAATACACAATTCTCCTTTAGCTCCTTACCCCCATAATAATTATTTTACATTTATCTACTATGGACCAGTATGAATTGCACCTGCTACCTATTAAACATGGTGTCTGTCAAATTCTTAGGAAGGAACACTCAAGAAACTGCCACTTGCTGCTGTAATGTGACTGCTTTATGTTCTGACTCCCTCTGCTGGCACATTGCATGTGCTCCTTCAGATCAGGATGTGGAACTGACGGTGTTGGACTGGGGTGGACAAGGTCAGAAATCACCCGACACCAGGTTATAGTCCAACGGATTTATTTGAAAACACAAACTTCCAGAGTGTAGCCCCTTCATCAGGTGGTGCAAAAGAAGCACACAGAACACAAAATTTATAAGTAAAAGATCAAAGGGTCATATGCATATGAATCAATTAAAACCTTCTAACTGATTAAAGATTTAACAGCATCCTAGGTTTGTTTAATACATCCTCATCAGTTGTGTGACCCTTTGATCTTTTACTTATAAATTCTGTGTTCTGTGTGCTTCTTTCTCATTTCACCTGATGAAGGGGCTATGCTCTGGAAGTTTGTGTTTTCAAATAAACCTGTTGGACTATAACCTGGTGTTTTGTGATTTCTGAGCTTCAGATCAGTATAGAGGACTCAAATTAACAATATAATACAGTACATCCCTCCCCCTCTTGATAAATGAGATGCACATTTTCTTTATCATGAATCAATAATCCAAATAAAAATATGTCGTCTCATTGAAAATAGTAGTCAAACATAATTTTAACATTCAACTTCACCAGTGTATTATATCAATAATCTTTATCACCATTTCCTTTTCTTAAAATTTATATGTGGTACAGAATTTATGCTTAGTCATGTAGAATAAGATAAAAGATTTGCTTGGATTGAAAGTAGTTTACTTTGCAGCAAAATCGCTTAATCATGATGGGCATAGGAACTGAGTCTGACATCAGGTTTTGTCTCATTTGGCTCATGTTCTCCATTTGCAATATTTAAATCAGGCTCCAAGCTCACGAATTTTGTTTTCAGTGCTTTGAACAATGACATGTTCTTGGTGATGATTTATGAATCATGTTTAACAATGGTCATTGATCCTTTTCTATTGACCACAATAAATGACTGTTTGCTTTCCAACACGACCCACCATATTTCACAAACACTCCATCTTGTGGTTTTCATGACATAGCTTTGACTTTCATCTTATACTTTGTGTTAACTTTCATGTGATCCCTCTGTTCTCAATCATACTTGTATGCCTATTGATCATTAGTTATGGGAGATAGCTCTGGGAAAATGTGTGGGTGCTGGATGTATGATGTTGAGTGTAGCTGGACACCTTTCAGAAGTCACATGGAGAATTGCTTGCAAAGCCAAAATTGCAAAGAAAATGCTTCAACTTCTGCTTCCACAGCTTACTCACAGCACTTTATTCAAGGTGTGTATGAACGTCTTAACTTATACATTAGTTCTCAGCCATCAGGGTGCTTTTTCAATGATTGAATCCACATGGTTTGTGAAATTTCTGAACACACCCCTGTTGAGTGGGAGAATATTGTCACTTCTCACTGTCAAAGGGACTCCAAATAAAGTGAAAATCTGGTCAAGCTTTAGAATTACTACTTCCATTGAGATAGACATTACTATTTCTACAACTGGGAATCATCAGTGATAACAAACAAATGTTTGCCCATGAGAAAATCTGTGAAGTCAACATGAACTTCGTTCCTTTGGTGAACAAGTTGACATGTTGAATGGATCACGAAGATTTAATATTTAATTGCTTGACACAGTCAGTACCAAATTAATATTGTGGTCAAATCCAGGAACCATACCCTGTCCTGAAGGAATTGTTTGGTTTTGACAATTCCCCGGTGACCTTCATGTAGTATATCTACAATACATTCCCTCCGGGATAGCAGATTGTCAATGCTGTTGCTTTGTAACACAAGACTGGTGAGCTCATTTCAAACATTGTGAAGATCTTGCATGTGAGAGGCTTTGCTTGTAGACAGGCTATCATTAGCTATTATACATTGTTGGGATGCTTCATCTTGTTTTATTGCTGCTGTGATGTCAGCTAGTTTTGGTGAATTTGACACCATATTTTGGCCTACATAGTTAAAGACGTTGTTCAGTAATCTTTTCCACATGACTATTAGAAATGATTGCTGCCAATGGATATTGTGAAAGGCATTGTGTTGGCTTCAGTTTGCCTGGCTGACACTCAAAATGAAATTCATTCTCTTGCAATTTAAATATTCAATGCTGTATTTAAGCGGATGGTTTCTCATGTGGATTGTCAAACAAGACTACTTGTAGTCTGTAATCAATTATATCTTTATACTGACTTCCATAAAAATAGAGATAAAAATGTGAAATACCCAATGCGATCAACAAACACTGCTGCCTCGATTTGCGAATATTCTTCAATGATTTTAGCGGTCTGTTGACACTGTGACAATTGATGTGTTTCCAATGTTGTCTCTCTGTATAAAAACTGCACTAACCCCACCAGGCTCACAGCCATCTGCAGCTGCGTATTTTCTTTCGGGCCAATAGAGGAATTTGTGCAACTTGCACATAACCGCTGGTTGATCCAGTATACAGCCTGTTTTGAACAATTTAGTCAACTCCAACTTTGAAAGTTCTTATGTTGGATCACAGGCAGAAACAGACAACATAACAAGGTCAGGATTGAAATGACCCCTAACAGACTCCAGACTTTCTATGCAATCACAGCATCTGCAAATTTGCAGTAACTTCAGTTTCGATTAGATGATAATCCATTAGACTCTACGACCAAAAATGCTGTTTCTATTTTCATTCAAAAAGCACTTATTTTTATGCAGTGTATGGTTAGATTTTCTAAGATATTGTAGACAGGCATGTGGGTGTATTGGCACTTCACTTTCAGTGTGATTTTAGTTGAGAATGTCATCATTAGCATTCAGCAAGCCTTCAAGTCCATGCAGAAGAATTCAGCTGCTAAATTAACTTCAAAGTTGAGCTTCTTGTTTAAACAAAGTTTTCATTGTGAACAAAGAGCACTGTTTTCTTTCATTCAGTGACAGTTTACATGCCAGCTCAGCTTTGACACACAGTGCCTGCAAAGTGATACATGTACAATCACTGGAATAGTGCAGTTAGGGAACCTGCAATCCTTGTGACACCAATCCACCTGCATATCTCTGGCATATAACTAGCTGTCCATAAATAGGAAGTCTCTGTCACTCCCCTCATGCAACAACGGATAGTAAACTGTATGACATTGCAAATATCTCCAGTTCCAGACTGAAAGGAGCCTGATGCTTAAAACCCCAGGCCATGTCAAGGATATTGGAATCCTGAATGCCCAGTGACAGGCAGTGCTATTGTCAGAGGCTATATGTTTGTGGATAAACTAATAATTGGTGATGGGATATCAGCTTTTCAAGAGTTATTTCACAGCTAGCCATAACTTGTGCCAGTTACTTTGTGTGTGTGTGTGTTTTTTTAACAACCTTCACACATTTGCTTGAGTAATCTTCTTGCAATAAGCTAGTTCTTTCTTTGTTACTTAACAAACCTGGCTGACTTGTTTCTGACATTGAGCTAAATTTGACAATCTCACCTCCACTTTTAAATTCAAAGCTTTTCTGACTAGAGGAAGAGTGGGACATGACAGGAATCCATTCAACCTTCCTAATCGAGTTGTAACAGTCACAGCAAAAACCAGTAGAAATCCATCAGCCACAGACCCATAAATAGTTGATGATCCCTTTCAGTAGAGTTGGTGGGAGACCTTTTCTGCTACGTGTGTGTCCAGCCATGTGTCATGAACTGTAAAATGGCAGAACCAGTGTCAATGGTATTACAGGTGAATTGATGCTGTGATCTATTTGTGCTGCGTAATTATTTCAGGTCTCACTGTGCTTGGTCCACATCCTCCCCAATATGGCAACTCACACAATCACATCAGGAGCATTCCTCTGCTGAAGATGCCATTTGGTCCTTCAATGGCATTCAAAATGTCCAAGCAACTCAGAGCTACGGATGCACATTTCGAACTGATAACGTGTCCAGAGCATCATCTTCTAATCTACTTAGCGTCATCTAGTCATACAGCACAGAAATGGGTCCCTCCACCCAAATTGCCCATGAACAAAGAAAATTACAGCAGAGGAACAGGCCCTTCCACCCTCCAAGCCTGCACCAACATGCTGCCCGTCACAACTAAAACCCCCTACCCTTCCAGGGACCGTATCCCACTATTCCCATCCAATTCATGTACTTGTTAGGATGCCCTATAAAAGTGACTATAGTACCTGCTTCTGCTACCTCCCCCGAAAGCGAGTTCCAGGCACCCACTACCCTCTGTGTAAAAAACTTGCCCCGTACATCACCTTTAAACCTTATCCTCTCACCTTAAACCTTAAAGGATTGTGTTGTACCAGTGAATATCATTTTAAATTCAGTGTCGTAATGAGTCTGTATGGGCTAGATAGTTTGAAAACTTATCTCCAGTGATAGGGAATATTTACTGTGTAACTATTACAATAATTTCACTTTTCAGGAAGACGAACATCTGCAGCAATGATTGACAAACATGGTGAAAATGGTGTATAGACAGCAATGTACAAGCAGCTATGCCTACACCTTTCTATACTGGCCTGTTTAATTGCTTAGTTTTGTCTTTCAAATACTGTGCATGCTAACTTACTGTGCTTCGTTAAAAAATTGTTGTTTTCCTTATGAATTGCACCAGTAGAATTGAAAGTAAACGAGTGAAATATTCCTGTGCGTGTTAGTAAATTATGGCTTAACTACGATTAGTGTGTAAATATCACTTAAAGGCCAAACATTGATGTAATATGCTGCAGGTTACCACATGCCATTCTCACCCTCTCTGTTTATGACAGTATCACTACATGTACAAGTTAAATTAAAATTCTTCGTAAGGGTTTTGTGTTTGCTTTTTTCTTAAGAAATTCCCTGATTTGATCATTCATTCTTTAAAAGTACTGTGAAATCTCCACAGTGTTTCATTCTATGCCACAATGAACATACTATTACTTGCAATGAAGAAGTTATGAGGACAATTCTCTTATTCACCCATCTGTGGCTCTCCTCCAATTGCAATGAGATTCTGGGTCATCTACAAAAGACTTTGGTTCTTTTCCCCATGATAAACCCTAATCTGTAGTGACACTGTTCCTCAAACAGTTGTAAGAAGGTTAGCTACAGTGGACAAATATGAACTCTCCTCCTACACTCTTTGAGTCCACTCCCAGCCACTAAAACTCAACCCCCTATAATTTATGAATGAGAGGCAATGTTATGACAACTTCTGGATTGCTGCCAATTATTGATATTTCCAAACAGATTGAAAGTTGTTTTCTTTCATCAAATTGCATTGCTTATTAACTATATATTAATTGGGTATTTCATTGCATTTAATATGGTGAACATTAATTTGGGCCTCAATGTGCTTATATATATTAGCCGGCTAAAACTCTGTTAGAGATGCCCAATGTGTAATGTGTTTCTCTATAATGAACACTTTTAAGTTGGTAATGATGAAGCTACAATTCTGACCCCACCACCTAGCCATCTGATTTCTAATTATATTAATGTCACCAGCTTGCAGTTATTTTAAAATACAGCAAAGACAAATGGCAGATAGTTTCTTCATTATTTGACTATGTTGGCTTTTTCAGTGGGATTATTAGTTTTAGTTACAGAAGATTACAAATCCAGAGCTTAATCTTTAAATGACCCTCACTTTATATTCATCAAGTATTTCGCAAATCCTTAAATGCTCAAATACCAGCCAATGGAATTAATCCAGCTTCAGAAAGCAGGAAATTAGGAAATTAAACGTATCAGTACATTTTTTCAAGGCGTAGAGCTGGATGAACACAGCAGACCAGGCAGCATCAGAGGAGCAGGAAAGCTGACGTTTCGGGTCTGGACCCTTCTTCAGAAAAAAGAATATCTCTAATATCTCTGAGTACATTTTTGCAGCCCATTCGATCAACACTGCTGTCCCCTCAGGTTTCCAACTTCATTATCGTCGGCTTAAGTAATGTTTCAATACAAAATATTGAGGAGGGAGAATGAACTGCAGATGCTGGAGAATCCGAGACAACAAGGTGCAGGGCTGGATGAACACAGCAGGCCAAGCAGCATCATAGGAGCAGAGAGGCTGACGTTTCGGGCCTAGACCCTTCATCAGAAAAGGGGGAGGGGAAGGGGGTTCCGAAATAAATAGGGAGAGAGTGGGAGGCACCTCCTCCCACCTCAAGCCGCACCTCCATCTCCTACCGACCAACCTCATCCCGCCCCCTTGACCTGTCCGAGCACCGTGGACTGACCTATCCCCTTCCTAACTCCCTACCTACACTCACCTTTACTGGCTCCATCCCCGCCTCTTCGACCTGTTTGTTTCCTCTCCACCTATCCTCTCCTCTATCCCTCTGCTATCCGCCTCCCACTCTCTCCCTATTTATTTCGGATCCCCCTTCCCCTCCCCCTTTTCTGATGAAGGGTCTAGGCCCGAAACGTTCTGCTCCTATGATGCTGCTTGGCCTGCTGTGTTCATCCAGCCCTGCACCTTGTTGTCTCTTGAGAAAAGGAAAATCTCCTTATCTCTGTCTGAAAAGGTGATACAAAGAACAAAGAACAGTACAGAACAAGTGCTGGCCTTTTAACCCAGCAAGGCTGCGCCGACACCTGATGACTTTCTAAAAGTAAAAAACTTTTGCCACTATGAGGTCCGTATCCCTCTATTCCTTACCTATTAATGTATCTGTAAAAATGCTTCTTAAGCATTGCAATGTATTCACCTCCACCATTTCCTCTGGCAGTGCATTTCAGGCACTTACCACCCTGTGTGTAAAAGCCTTGCCTTTCACATCTCCTTCAAATTTTCCCACTCTTACCTTAAACCTAGGTTCCCTCGTAATTGACATTTCTACCCTGGGGATAAAAGACTCGGACTATCCATTGTATCCATGCCTCGCATAATTTTGTGAGCTTCTATCAAGCTTTTCCAATCTCACCACATAGCTAATATCCTCCAAACCAGGCAACATCATGATAAATCATTTCTGTACCCTCTCCAAAGCCTCCACATCCTTCTTGTAGTGCGGCAACCAGAACGGTACTCAATATTCCAAATGTGGCCTAAATAAATTTCTATGCAGCTGCAATATGATTTGCAATTTTTATACTCTATGCCCCAAACGATGAAGGCAAGCATGCCATTTGCCTTCTTTACCACCTTCTTTATTCTTTGTTCTTATCCACTTGTTTTTCCACTTTCAGGGAACTATGGACCTGCATATGTAGAACCCCCTAAGGGATCTCCCATTTACTGTATACTTCCCTCCTTCATTACATCTTCCAAAATTCATCATGTCCAATTTTTTTGGATTTAACTGCATCTGCCATTTCTCTGCTAAGTCTCCAGCCTATCTATATCCTGCTATATTCTCTGGCAATTGTCCTCACTATCTGCAGCTCCTCTAATCTTTGTGTCATCCGCAAACTTATTAATTAGGCCACCTATATTCTCCTCTAAACCATTTATACATATACATTGCAAATAACAGGGAGTCTCAGCACTGATCCCTTCAAAACACCACTGGTCACAGATCTCCAATCAGAAAACACCCTTCCACTGCTACTCTCTGTCTTCTTTGACTATGTCAGTTCTGTATCCAACTTTCTATCTACTGTGGATCCCATATGACTTCATCATATTTTGTATCAGCCTGCATGAGGGACCTTGTCAAAGGCCTTGCTAAAGTCCATATAGACAACATATATGCCCTCATCAATAATCTTTGTCACTTCCTCAAAAAACTCAATCAATTTTATGAAACACAACCTTTCCCACACAGAGCCAGCTGCCTAGCACTAATATGTTCATATTTTTCCAAATGTGCGTAAATCTTGTCCCTAAGAATCTTCTCCAATAATTTCCCTACCACTGACATAAGGCTCACCGGCCTGTAGTTCCTGGATTATCCCTGTTGTTCTTCTTAAATAAAGGAACAACAATAGCTATTCTCCAGTCCCCTAGGACCTCACCTGTGAATAAAGAGGATACAAAGATGTCGGACAAGGTACCAGCAATTTCCTTACCTGCTTCCCTCAGCATTTTGGAATAGATTCCATCAGATCCTGGGGACTTGTAAACCATAATTATTTTCAAAACACCCAACTCCTTTTTTATATTGACATGCCGAGATAATCAACATACCCCTCTCAAGATTCTCCATCCACTATGTCCTTCTCCTTTGTGAATACTGAAGTAACATATCCATACATAAATTCCCTGCATTGTCCTTAAGTGGATCTATTCTTTCCCTCTTGCTCCTTATGTATGTATAACATATCTTGGAATTTTCCTTGATCACATTTGCCAAAGACATTTCATAGTCCCTTTAACCCTTCTAAATCCTTGTTTGAGTTCTTTCCTGCTTTCTTTATATTCTTTAAGGGCCCTGTCTGCCTTCAGTTTCCTAAACCTTATGTATGCCTCAAATTTCTTTTTGACTAAGCTGTCAATTTCTTTTGCCATCCAATATTCTGAATCCTGCCATCCTTATTCACAGGAACATGCTGGTCCTGAACTCTAATCAACTGGCCTTTAAAAGATTCCCATGTGAAGATGTGGATTTACCCTCAAACAGCCGCCCCCAATCTATATTCCCTACTTCTTTTCTAATATTGTGGTAGTTAGCCTGCCCCCAGTTTAGTACTTTCATCCAAGGATTACTCTTATCCATATCCATAAGTAGCTTAAGACTTATAGAATTATGGTCACTGTTCCCAAAATGCTCCCCCACTAAAACATGGATCAGCTGGCCAAGCTCATTCCCCAATACCAGGTCTAGTATGGCCCCTTCCTTAGTTGGACTATTTACATGTTGCGTCAAAAAATCCTTTTGGACACATCTAACAAACTAGCACCCCCACCCCCATCCCATCCAAACCCCCAGTACTAATACAGTCCCAGTAAATATATGGAAATTAAAGTCACCCACCACAATAACCATATTGTTTCTCCATTTTTCCATAACCTGTCTACATATCTGTTCCCCTATCACCCACTGGCTGTTGTGAGACCTGCAGTACAACTCCATCAAAACGATTGCACCCTCCCTATTCATGATCTCTACACATGAGGCCTTACTGGATGAGCCCTCCAAGGTGTCCTCTCTCAGCTATGGTATTCTCCCTTATCAACTAATGAAACTCCCCATCTTTTTTACATCCTTCTCTACCTCGCCTGAAACATCTAAATCTAAATGTTTACATCAATCTTCAGAAGATTTTTGATGACCTCTCACTCGAGAGATGAGCATATAAAATAAAAATGCACGGGATTGTTGGTTGTGTTCTGGCGCGGATAGAGAACCCCAGCTACTCACAATTTATGTTAATGATTTAGATGAGAGAACTAAATGTAAATAAAAACCCAAAGAACTGCAGATGCTGGAAATCAGAAACAAAAACAGAAATTGTTGGAAGAGCTAAGCAGGTCTGGCAGCATCTGTGGAGAAAAATCAGATTTAACACTTTGGGTCCAGTGACCATTCCTCAGAGCTAAATGTAGCATCACTAAGTTTGCAGATGGCATAATGCTGAGTGGGTGGGTGAACGATGATGAGGATGCAGAGGAGCTTGAGTATGATTTCTAGAGCCAAGAGAAAACTTGGACAATCCAAATCAGATATGAGAAGTGAATACATTGCTCAAAGACTGGCATGGGATAAGACTGTTCCAGTTCATGGACACTAGCACCTGCAGTGAGGACAGTAGGATCTATACCAATAGGACAGTCTCCATCTGAACTGTGTTGGGACCTGTGTTCTTACCAACCACATAACTAGAGAAGTACAGAAGCTTTTAAACGAAATAATGGAGGCAAACAATCAAATTTGGAAAATGTGGTAAATCAAAGAATAAAGGCCAAAGAGAAAAATATTATACCGGAAAGTTAAACCAATTGTGACAGAAAAAGATAGGATACAAATCTAAAACTCAACCAACAGATAAGACTAGAAATTACAAAGATTAAAAGGATAAAACTGAAGGCTCTGTACCTAAATGCACAAAGTGTTTGATAATACCACTAGGCAATGCCCTAGTGGTACTACTGCTGGACTGTTAATCCAGAGACCTAGGTAATGTTCTGGGGCCCAGGTTTGAATCCCACCATGGCAGATGGTGGAATTTGAATTCAATAAATGTCTGGAATTAAGAATCCAATGATAACCATGAATCCATTATCGATTGTCGGAAAAACCGATCTGGTTCACTATTGTCCTTTAGGGAAGGAAATTGCCATCCTTACCTGGTCTGGTCTACATGTGACTCCAGACCAACAGCAATTGTTGAGTGGTTGACTCTCAAATGCCCTCTAGGCAATTAGGGATGGGCAATAAATGCTGCCTGGCTAGCTACGCCCTCATCCCATAAATGAATAAAGAAGAAAACAAAAGATGAACCTAGAGTACAAATAGAAATGAATAAGAATGATCTGGTAGCCATAACAGTGACATGGCTACAGGAAAGAAAAATTAGGAACTGAATCTTGAAGAGTAAAAGATATTACAAATAACAGGAGACTGAGAAAATGTGGAAGGGTAGCTCTGTTAGCTAACAGTTATATTGATACAAAAGAGAGGAACAACCTGAAAATCAGGAAACTGTGGAAATAGTTTAGATAAAAATGAGACGTGATAAAAGCAAGAAGTCATAGGCCCATGAACATTAATTACATGTTAGGGCAGAGCATAAAGAAAGGAATAATGAGAACTTAACAGAAGGCCCAGTGATAATTATGGGAGAGTTTATTGTATATATCAGCTAGATAAATCAAATAGGCAAAGGTAACCTTGATAAAGAGTTCATAGAGTATTTTTGGAAATATTTTTTTCTTAGAACAGCATTGAAACATAAAAAAAAGGAGCAGGAGTAGGCCACTCAGCCCTTTGAACCTTCTCCACCATTCAATGCGATCATGGTTGATCATCCAACTCAATTGCCTGCTCCCACTTTCCCCCCCTGTATCCTCTGATCCCTTTAGCCCCAAGTGCTTAATCCAACTCCTTCAAAATACAATATTTTGGCCTCAACTGCTTTCTGTGGTAGCAAATTCACCACTCTATGAGTGGTATTCTGAGGCCAATTATAGAGCAAACATTAGTAGACTTGATATGTGTAATGTGATAGGATTAATTAATGATTACATAGTGGAGGCACCCCTAGGTAGCAGAAACCATTATATAGTTGAACTTAACATTCAGTTTGAGGGAGGAGGGCAGGCACAAAGTCATTTTAAAAAAAAATCAAATAAGAGAAATTGTGAGGGCATGACAGCACAGTAAGAGGTTAAAGAACAGGTCAATAACAATGCAGTGGCAGATATTTAACAGAATATCTCAGAATATGCAGAATAAATACATTCCAACATGTGAAAATTTCAAGCGACAGGAAAAGCATCCATTTTTAACCAGAAATGTTAAAGATGCCGTCAAACTAAATGAAAACGCCCATCAATGTGCAAAGGCAGGTGGCAGGCCAGAAGTTGGATGAAATTGTAGCAGCCTCTGGGCTGCTAAAACACAGATAGATTGTGTTAACTTGGCCAAACTGCAAGGGGTGGCTGGGTACATTGGCCAAGTAAAACTCCGAAATCATGAAACGCACACACCAGACACATTGCAAACGCAACAGCCTCATGCTAATGACATTAGAACGATGTGAAAGGCAGCAGTTATTCTGGACAGACACACCCCTAACAATGTATTCTCTAAACAAAGGAGAGCACAGTCAGAAATGCACTGGGTCCTGCTACACAAAGAAACTAACAGTAACATACCATCTAAATGATTGAATCTTGTTTCAACCTATTACGTGTACCTCCTTGATTGGCCAGAACTATGGAAAGTTACAGAAAACCATCTAAATGGCATAAAAACAGGGTTCACCTGCAGACCTCTCTCTTGGGACTCTCTTGAATCCTATGAGGCCTTACGAGGAGAACAGCATGGCAAGAGGCAGAGACCAACTGACCATCCAGATGGAGAGGTGAAGAAAGCAGCTTCGCAGAGACAAAGGCACAGAGAGAGTGACTGTGTAAATTTACAATGATTCAGGAAGTATTGGAACCTTAAGGGGCCAAAACAGGATTAGGGACAGTATACTTAGTATTAAAGATTATTATAATTTTGTTCCTAATAAAGTGGAACTATCTTGCTTTGGTACCGGCTTGTGTTCATATTGATTTGACCACTTTGGTATTGTGGGACACCTAGGCAAATTCATTCATAACATTCTGGTCGGAGTTGTCTGTAACTTGTTTAAAGAGGAACCAGACAACATTTGGCATCCCCTGTTAAGAGGCTTTGGTTTGAAGTGACCCTTAGGGTTTTCCAAACCCGAACTGTCAACCTTGCTTGGTGTCTTTCATGTTCAGCCTGAGTTGGTTGTTAAGAGGTCAGCTGCCCCACCCAAAGGCCAAGATGTAAGTTGAACTTGCGAGATGCTGGCACTGACCACAATTGACCCATTACCAGGGACCTTAAACTGTGACAGGCAAAGCACGAGCCAGGTGTTCTCCAGCCAGTGTGAGCAAAGGATGAGCTGAAAAAGGGTAGCAGTGCATAGAGGGACTCTGAGGAAGTCTGCCATGGTAGCAGGAGACAGTGTGGGGAGAGGGGAGCAGGCATTTACGTCTTGTGTAGAAACCTTACAGAATTTTGGACCCCTCAAAAGAACCAGGGAGCTTTATTTTATTGCTTTTCAGTTCCAGTGAGTAGAAGAAAGTTTCCTGTGAATTTCAAATCCTTGTTGTCCCTGTCCTGGGAGTGTTCTATGGGGACAGAGCTGAGAGGATTTGACTTTTAATTTACTTTGAGTTTGAATGAATAGAGGAAAGTTTACTTTGTATTTTGATCCATTGTTGTCCCAACAGTATTTGGTGGGGACAGCGTCAAGGAAAAGTAATTCTTTATTTAGACTTGAAGGAACTTTATTTTGAGTTCAAGAGAGCTGAGGGACCTTTGAGTTCCAAACAGTCAAAGAAACTTTACTTCTGTATTTAAAAGAAGTAGAAACATAGGCAACCATTGACACCCTTACATGCTTTATTAGCCCAGTCAAAAAAACTGCTGAGTGTTTGAAAGAATATCTGGAACAAGTAGCCAGAGATTGTGTTGGGGACCAAGGAATAAGTAAAATACACAGGTGTGAGAAACGCTACAGTCAGGTCACGAGAAATGGCTAAAGACCTAACTCTGAGTTTTGTAGTTCTAGTTCTACATGTCTAAACATTTTGAGAGTTTGCAACAGGAATTTAGCTGAAGCTTTACCCCAACTACAGCTACTTCCCATAACTTAATAACATATTAAGAGAAATCCAGTAGAGGACCCATCAATAATATGCTTGCTAGCAAAATGGGACAAGTCTTGCCTCATCCAACACGGGAGGACACTCTCAAGACAACACCTTTGTAAAAATTGGCCCAAATGGACAGAATTCTGTAGCAGCCTAAACTGCCCCTGGACCACAGGGTCCATGGTCCAAGGCATATGGCAATAAACATATAAAAAATTAGGAAAGAAGGCCATTAAGATAAGCACAGCAATTGCAATAGCATGTAGCCTAAAAGACTCTCATAGACCGACTAGATGAGATTAGATTGCTGAGGGAGTGATTAAAAATCACTACTGATAAATTGGAAAAGTTAAAACTTGTCATTAAAGAGCAGGGCGCCAGAATACAGGAAAATCTGATGCATATGGGACAGTAGCAGTCACAAGTGGAAAGAGCCCATTCTAGTGAGAGGAGGGCCACTAAGGAGGTAGCCTCAGCATACATTGACAAGCTGGAAAAGCAGTGTAGGGACCTCTAAGTAGCTATACAGGTTGTCCAAGCCTGCAACACACAGCAATGCACATCAGGCCCTAGTTCGGATTATTCAAAGTGCCAGGAAAAAATACAGTCCCTAGAATGAGATAATGTGTGACTTTGGGGTCCTACCTCTCTAGGGAGATAACGAGAGGCTTCATACCAACACATCCACACCCAATCAACTTCTGCCCCAGAAATGGGGCCCCTGCCACCTTTCTCCCAGGTGACTGCACCTTCAACCCCCACCCCTGACCTACAGCCGAAACCAGAGCCCATGCACGTAAACATGGTTTGGTCTTCTTATAGCTCCCCTCCAACTTGGTGGAATGAAAGAAGGGACAGGAATACACAGTCCCAGACACACTCCAACTCCATACGAGATCCCTGCCACAGAAGAGGGGAACTCCCAAAATCATCCCCAAACCCAATCTGTACTATAACTGTGGCCGAACCAGCCATTTCATTTGCAACTGTTGGGCATGTAAAATTCCAACCTGGCATTGGGAAGTTTGGAGAAAGGAGCCAACGTCTAGGGTACCATCCTGGCAGCAACAGCTGGAACGAAAACTGGCTGTGGCTTATACAATGGATTGAGGACCAAGGCTACCCCTTAATGGAAATAGCTTAAAAGGTCCCCAGCCATGAGTCCACAAACTGCTATTCACATACGGGGCATATTTATTCTATCGCCCTTTCTGATTTTAGTTTGAAAAGGGGGTGGCCAGGAATGGGTGACAAATGGAAGGATTTGACAATTTTAAAATGTTAGGTAGAACACGGTGTCAGATATTAGACCAAGATATTTACAGAAATTACTCTTGCTTTTTTTCAGAAAGTGTACCAGAGCGGCTACTCCAAGACAAGTGTTTATATATACAGAGTGTTTATTCTGTATTATGTATTATTGAAATGACTGTATCCCAAAATATAGCATAGGCACAAGGGAAACAATGTATCCAGGATACATGTGGTATGACCCACCAGATGTCGCGGTATATGTAGATGGGACCCCCAGTTTTTAATAGATGAAAGAAAAGGGAATTCTTTAATGATTTAGCCACATCATACTGGGCAGGGGTGTCAATGGTCAATACTTTCGTTTTGTCTAATTTGGAAAATAAATTCAGGATCTTGACCCAACAAGTCAAACGAGCCCTAGAAGGACTGACTACAGACAATCAACAAGAGACCACAAGATAACTGTGGAGAATCAGGCTAGCCACCACCTAGTGACCATACTAGAAGGTCCTCCAAGGTGATTGACCAGATCATCCAGGGCAAAGTCAGGGATGATGATGAGCAGCAAAACCACACCCTGTGCAGCATCCATGGTAACTGGATGATTGAACAGCTGAGGGAAGACCTCAGGCAGGCTGGCCAAGGGAAAACCCCGTCCTGGATCAGAGATGCATGCAGCATGAGTCTATGAACAGTTTGAATGTTTGTTCCAGGAGAGAACCCACACCAACATCTCTAGTTGTCAGTTGCAGCAGCTCACCAAGGTATGGTATAATGACAGCTGCAAGGACAGTCTCGGTGAGGTGCTGGGCTTGGTGCTCGGGATTCTAATTATCCCGAGTGACAAAGTTGGATTAAGGACCTTTGAAGTCAAAAATATCCAAATTAAAGTGAAGGTATAAGGATGATTGAATGATTATTTTGAAGAAGCACAGATACAATAGGAATAATGACTTCCTTCTGTGTCCTAATAATCTATGATTCTCAAAGATGGCTTTGACTGTTAGTTTAGTGATTTCTGCCAGGTATTTATTCATTAGAGGAATTATTTTGCCTCAATACTTGTCACCATAATACATTGTGATAACGCTGAGTAAGTATAAATTTAAACCAGGATTGTTGCCATTGCAGAGATCTAGGAATGGAATGTTTCATTGTGATGTATCTTATTTATTTACAATTATAAGACAGTTACTTGACAACTTTATCATTTGGTGAAAAGTTTTCAGTGGCTCCACTAAACTCCAGTTGTCTCAAGTACTATTGCTTTTCAGTGATTTTTGTACTTTTGAAATGGATTGCATTTTGTTTAAAGAGTGTTTCTGTCTGTAGCCAAAAGTATTTTGACACAATTTCATACATTTTCACTCTGATTCTTTAATAATTTTCTTCTGTGGATGAATCTTTCAGGAAGAAGAAAGGGAAAGTACAATGCAGGTAACAAAATGAATTGAATTGACTGAAAATATGTCAAGTTCACTGGAATAGAGCACTATCCATTAATGCCTCAAGCCTTTAATAGGATGAAACAACTCCTTTCCTATGTGTATTCTAATTGAATTATGTTGTGTCATCCAAAATCTGATTGTAGCATTGGAATGGTTCTTAAATGAGAAATGCCAGCTGGATGGTATAGGTGACACAATTGTTTGTTATGGTTCAGCAGGATTGCAATTATCAAATGAAAGGGGTGATTTCAATCCTGCCTACCTGTCAAACCTGGGAATCAGGGCTGTTACACTTGCCTGTGGGACTTAACCATCCTACGATTTTCTTTCTGGCTTTCTGATTTTTAACCATGGAATTGGCACCCACTGGAAACCTGAGGGCTTCTTCTTTCAATATATAGATCAGCCGCCAATGATGTAATCAATGCCCAACTTCCTTTTCTATCCAAGTCCTGCATGTGGAAAGCTATTGCAGTTTCCCTTCCAGTTCCATCATGAGGGGCTATAGTCAGGAGAGGCTGTAAATGATAAGCACTTTTCCTTGCATTGACTCTCTTATGGTGCCAGGTGAAGCAGGGGTGGCCTGTAGTGGCCTCCTGCTGCCTAAGATTACTGGTTTGTCTACTATACATCTGCTCCTTCCTGGTCTTTGGATGGGACTTTGATGGAGTCTATGCTGAGGAATGTTGCAAGAGTCTCATTTTTAATATTAGCAGAAAACAGCAGTAATGGTGAGTTTGCAAGCATTTTTAAACAACTGATGGAGAAATCATGACAATAATGGTCTTCGCTATGTGGATTCCACAAAAATTGACAAAACTGTCCATGGATTTTACAGAATCAGATAACCAAGAGCCTTGATTTCGTTAAGATCCTGCGAAACAATCCTTTAATACCCTCACTGTAGTGCCACAACTTGTCACAAGTTTTGTCTTCCATCATTCTCTTTACAATACAAAGGCTACCCCAGGTATTGTTTTCAAACTCTAATGATGTGATATTTAGATTTAAGGCAATTTGTAAAAAGTTGAAAACGAATTGCATATTTTAAAAATGAACAATTGAATTGGACCTTATGAGAATTCTCTGATTCTATTACAGTCCTATAGTTCAATTTAAAGTATTATTTTCTTTGTTTATCATTTTCATTTTTTATGAAAACAATTGTTCTATCATGCATACACAAGAGATTATTGAAAATTTAACTGAGAAACAGTTTCTTGTGGCAGCACAGTGGTTCAGTGGTTAGCGTGCTGCCTCACAGAACCAGGGACCTGTGTTTGATTCTACTCCTGGGTGGCTGTCAATGTGGAGTTTGTACATTCTTCCTGTGTCTGCGTGGGTTTCCATCAGGTGCTCCGGTTTTCTCCCACAGCCCAAAGATGTGTAGGTTAGGTGGATTGGCCATGGGAAATGTGGGGTGAAGGGATAGGGTAGGCGGTGGATCTGGGTGGGATGCTCTTTGGAGAGTCAATGTAGACTTGATGGGCTGAATGGCCTTCTTTCACACTGCAGGGATTGTATGATTCTAATTATCCTGGTGTGCACCCTTCAGACACAGGAATAATCTGTTCCATAACTCAAAACAATAGGCAAAGGGATATTTGTCAAATAAGCTGTGAACGAATGAATTCCATTCCTATATCACTTCTCTTTGTATTCTGGATCAGTTTCTAAAAGTTGTTCAAATACAAAGTACTTAATCCTGGGTTGCAGCAGCATTCAGTCAATTTGTGATTCTGTGCAAAAACTGCTCAACTGTCATGGCATAGTTCTACAAGGTGATTCTGGAGCAGTGATCCTATTTTTGGATGAAAGAAACCTGAAAGTAGCATTACAATATTGTCATACAATAATAGATATTATGTTGTTTTCCATGTAGCTTTTGACTCTATGCCAGACCATAAAATGCTTCTCAGAAGAAAGGATGATGTGAGCTTGCTGTTTGCTCCAAAGGGCCTCCATGTTGGACACTGACACCAACATCTTAGGGATGTTGCATGGCCACCAGCCACATGCACCCCATATTCATGGACTGTGGCAACAGACTTATGCAAGTTTCTAAGAACCCTCCTCTCTGGTCCACTTACAAAATGCTCTTGTACTTCAATGCTACAACTTGGGTTGCTGTGGCAACTATCATTATAATGCTGCTGCAAGATCACTGTGCACACGGGGACATGGGCCCAGCTTGTGGACTGGAGCATGCCACATTTCCAGCCGCCCACTTGCTTTTATAGCACTCACTCACTCTGAGCCAATTTGGATGCTCACAGCATCCCAGTCTTGCATTGTCTAACCTTGCTGTAGATATGTTCTAATTAACCTATTCAGAGATGTTATTACAAAGTTCTAAAGCAGGTGGGTCTAAACCCAGACCTCCTGACTCAGAGGTAGGGACACTATATTGCAGTCCTCAGTCAAGCCCAGGGGCGTGACCTTCACTTAGGAGCTGGCACAGTACATCAAGGGCAGCCCCCAATACCAGTCACTTGTCAAAGTCAGTCAGCCGCTTGACAGACTGTGTGGGACAGACAAGGCAACGTGCTCTCCATGAAAGTGGTTAGGAACAAAACGTCAGACAGCTCACTACCCATCTTAACTCTTTCTGCCCTTTTGTGAGCTCTTTTCTTCTTGGAATGAGAGAGGGACGGGCATTAAAGGAGATGCAAGTGTATGGCATATGTTACTGTTGGCGCAGATGGGGTGAGGTGTCCCAAGTGAGTGAGTAGGTGGCATACAGCGCATGCAGGCTTAGTGGTGCCAGGGGTTAGGGTGGATAACAGGGAATGAGGAAATATGTTGCAGGCAATAGAGACAGTGGTAGAGCATGAGCCTTGGAGGAGGTGGGTGCAGTCGCAGAAACAGTATGAATATGACGTATTGAGAGATGAGCACTTAAGCTGGCAGAAAAATCATTGACCTTCTTCCTACGATGCTGGGTATTCCTCCTGATATCTGAGACTGCACTAATCTGGATGGCAACTTCAGACGAGGCTGGCATTGTCTGGTTGGTCCTAGTAGAAGAGGATTTCTGCCTGTGTCCCACAACATTCAGCAGGGCCTCCAGGTTTCTGCCCACAAAGCAGGATGCCAAGTCTCCCTTCTTCTATCTCCAGGGCAAATGTTGAGAACTGTTCAGGGTAGTTCCGGCCTAACAGTGCTTTACGGACTTCACGTTGGCCTTTTAAAGATGACGAATGTGAGGGATGGTATTTAAATTGTCATATTTAGTAATTATGCAATGCATTAGGTGATGTTGGACTTTGTTACTTATAAGGGATCGTTTAGTGTCCACGTTATAGAGAAATGTAAACTTGGTCTGACAAATTTTATATTATCAATTTGAAAACAAAAAGAGTGAAGCCTGTAATTCAGTTTTATTTTTACTCTAGGATCCCAATGAAGATACAGAGTGGAATGATGCCTTACGAAGTTTTGGCATTATTCCTCCAAAAGAAAAACCAAGGGATGAGGTTGAAGAAATGGTCTTGCGTTTAAAGGAAGAAGCTAAAGGTAAAAGTTTAATTTTGTCTAAATGTGCATGTGAAAACAATATGTTTTAATAATTGAGATGAGAGTAAAACTTAAAGTTTGTATTTCGCCTGAAATCCCTGAAGTTATGATCTCAGCTGATGTCACCACTAAACAACAAATCCCAGAATGAAATCTGGCTTGATTGATCATATTTTGTTTTTATGAATTTAACATGGCAGAATTTCACTTAAGCATAACACGCCAAGCTGCAGATTTGGTTTTAACAATAATAAAGAATTTTATTATGCAAAAGAAATAAAAGTAAACTAAAACAAAATAATCTATCCACAGTTAAAAATATTTTCAAAAATCTGGCAAAGAAAATTCTATCTATTCCCCAGTGCTATCTCTTTTAGAGTTAATCAAAAATCTAGGTAACTCTCCCTTTCATATTTAAATCTGTAGGTTTGACTTAACTACTTCTTCCCTCACTTCATTTCCTGTGAGCTGTGAAATCTTTTATTTGAATCCTCATTTCAATGAGATCTTAGCCTCTCTCAGCTTTGAGTAACCAATGCAGATTTCTAACCAAACCCGTCCAGTCTCGACATTTTCATAAACTGAAACACTTACACTAAGGACTCTTATTCCCTGAAGTGCTCTGGATGAACTCCTTTCTCTAGGCGAAACTATTCTTACGCCTGATTTCAGTCAGGTCTTCTAAGATATCTAAGCTAACTGCTCCTCTATTGGATAAATACACCATGAGTGTTCCACAGAACTAAACAATTCAGTTTCAAACTCGACCAGGGCAGTACTCAGAATTGTCAAATTTGGTGTTCGTATAAATGTGTTAGAGAAGGGAAAGATTCCACTCCTCCTAATTGCAGTTTCAGGGCTCTGCTGAGCAACAGGGAACAGAGATTGGCAGTGATGTCTATCACGATTGTGTAAGCTGCTGACACCTGCTGCCTATTTATTATCTACTGCGGTCCTACTGTATTTTGATACCTTCTTGAGTTCAGTGTCGTCAACTGTTCCCAAAAGCAATCTGAACATCTTACGTTCGTGGGAATTGGCTCAGCTAGCCCCTTATCTATTCGCTCAGTGCTACACCCTAGGAGTGCAAAGAAAGAAGTGCTTTGTTATCTGAACCAGATTTATATGTCTTTGAGGTTCACGATTTGTATTTCTCTAATGTGAGAATTATTTCATATTGTTGTGAATATACAAAACAAAATATAAAATAGGATCACTGGTTCCAACCACAAACTGTCTTTGTGTCTTATAAGCCTGCAAGGCTTCCGCAAATTCATGGGGCTTTTTTGTTATCGTCATAGAATCCCTACAGTGTGGGAGCAGGACACTTGGCCCATCAAGTCCACACTGACCCTCCGAAGACCATCCCACCCAGACCCAGCCCCTATGCTATGCCCCTATTTCCCATCCTAGACTCTATGGGCAATTTAGCATAGCCAATCCATTTAACCTGCACATCTTTAGACTGTGGGAGGGAACCAGAGCACCCAGAGGAAACCCATGCAAACATGGGGAGAGTGAACAAGCTCCACACAGACAGCCACCCAAGGCTGGAATCGAACTCAGGTGCCTGGCACTGCGAGGTAGCAGTGCTAGCCACTGAGTCACCGTGCTACCTGCATTCTCTTCTGTATTCCATCCTTCAGGATGCTTTTCTATGCCTGGCGTACTCCTGCATCTCTGTGTGCCTTATCTCCTGCTGTTGTTCACTACCAGAAAGGAATCAAAAACTTTATGGCACTTTTGCTGGCAAATGACCAATTGTTAATTGTAACCAGCTCAGTCGCATCTTCACTATCCATAATGCCAGAGTTGTTTAAAACTTACATGATGTACTCTGTAAGCAGAATTATTTTGCAACCAGAGCAATTGACAGAAGGAGATGGGTAGCCTGGCAAAATGGCAAGAGAGCACTTTGGGCAAAAAGCCTTATAAGTTCTGGCCATTGTTGGAAGCTCACTAGAGCTATCTTGATTGCCGGGTGTAGACCGTAATTATCAGCTGCAGGTAGGCAATTGATCCTCCTTGGGATCTAAGTCATAGATACTTTCCAGACGTTATCAGAATTTTCTATGGGCACATTAAAGAATGGAGCTCTGGAGCCTTGCCAGGGATAAAGAGATGATAGCTCAGCAACAAGCCAGCATTGCTACAGATGGCAACCATTGCAAACAACAGCATTGAATTAGCTGCAGGATGAGAGTGAATGAAGTGCCTGTGTGAAAAGCTGTAGGCTGCAGTAACTCGGTGCATATATCAGAGGTATGGAGACTGATGAACCTATCTAAGATGGATCTCATCTAAGCAGAATAAGGGAATTGTGAATCCTTAACAGGTGAAGTCTGCAAGTAACATTGGATTTCATCTCCTCCAGCACTGTGTGGCTTCCCTTTCAGTTTCTTTAACTTGCACTGCCAAACTGCAGTAAGCTGCCTCCCCTTCAATTACAGCATCTGCTTCTCAAATGTCAAGACCTGCTCACACTGCTGTGTTGGCTCCCATGCCTGCCAGCCATTAATTGGATGGTCCTTATAAGGTTAAGAAGCAAAAGTGGCAGAGTTGGTAATGTCACTGGGGCTATTGATCCAGGGGCCCAAGCCCTGGCAGGACATGGGTTCAAAACACACCACTTACTCAATTTAATTTACAGAAGTAAGAGATCTGGAATTGAAAGCTAGTCACAGTAACAGTGACCATGAAACGATCACTGATTGTTGTAAGATGTCATCCTGTTCACTATTGCACATTAGAAAAATCAATCTGCAGTCCTTATCTAGTCTGGCTTATTGATTCCAGACCCATAACAATGTGAGTCACATTTGACTGTGCTCTGAAAAGCTGAGCAAGACACTACACTATATAAAATGGCTAGTGAAAAGTCACTTCCTGAGGGACTGCAGTGGTTCAAGAAGACCACTTTGTCAACAGTAATTAGGGATTAGGCAAGAAATACAAATTTTGTCAGCGATATTTGTGTCCCATGATTAAATAAAAAAATGCATTTCCTCTTCCAGTGCCCACCCATGTGAATGTTCCACCTCACATCGGGCCTCCTTCTGTACCTTTTGTTTCAAATCATTATGTTTCAAAATATATTTCTTGTTCCAAAATCTAATTGTCAGGAAAATTGTTCACAAGACCAAAACTATGCGTCAGACTTCCCAAAGTTTTGTCAAAGAGGTTAATGGAGGGTTTCTCTCCATGAGCTCAAACGAATATTCTCGCAGTCTTACAATGCCGAGCTCATAAAGCGAGCACCACATCTCCATGGCACCACTCTCGCACAATCATGCACTTTCCAGTATCAGAATTTCTCACTGTTGCTGGGGCCTTCTGAGTTCTCCGATGCTAGAGCCATCTTTACAGCCCAGCTGTGCACCAGGTCAAACCCTGCCAGCCAGGAATTGGACTTTACAGTTTCATCGTGTGAAAAATTGCACCAGAAACAGCCAATAAGTGTAAATTGGCATCCTGCTTTCCTGATGAGAACTTGGAGGTCCTGGTAGGAGGGGTGGTGATCTGGAAGGCTGTCCCCTTCCCTCAGGACCACCGGTAAAGAACATGGTACCAGACCTAGCAACATGGTCCGAAGTTCTGATGGAACGCCCAACAATATGGAAAGAAGATGAATGACTTTCTGTCCTCCACAAGAGTAAGTGCACTATTTTTGCTACACTGCCTTAGATTCACTAACTCTGCCATTGCACATATCTCCCACCAAGGCTCTTTGTATCCCATTCCACTATTGGATGCAACAACTTCCCTCTATCACTGTCATCCACCCCAGCCCCAAGCTACTCACCCTCCCTGGCCTCTATACATCCTATTCGCTCACTTGGGACGGCTTTCACCAACTGCACCAACACTAACAAGTGCACCAGACACTCACTCAATCCCTGCCCTTGTCTCATTCCAGGATTAGAAGACCCACAATATGACAGAAATGACCAAGACAGGTGATGGGGCACTCGATATTCATCTGCTCACTGCCTATGTAAACAGAATACTTGCCTTTCTGGGAGACGATCATGACCGCTCATGTTTTGATGCTGAGACCTCAATGTCTTTGCAAACAACTGTTGTCAAGTACTGCTCTTTCATTTTCACTACTTTTAAACAGATTCTTAACCTGCCCAAGCATTCTACCCCCATTTTGCAAATTATTTCCTCACTTATCTTCTGCAGGTACGAGTGTCATGCATGCAGCTTCTGTCATGAAGAGACCACCATTCCCTCCAGCTAACATCTCCTCCTCCAACTCTGAGGAAAAATACATAAATCCATCGGAGGAAGCACCACCAAGGCTTTCTTCTGCACCCTCCACCAGCTGACATACTGATTCCTTTGTGGGTACTTCAGACAGATTAAAGTTGAGAATGCATTCTGATAAACACATTGATGGCACATCGCCGTAGCTTGCAGAGGAAGAAATGCCCCAGGCTGCTGGCACTGGTTGGGTTGCCAAATACCAAGCAACCACTCAGTCTGAGGCAGAAGAAGACACTGTGGTACTGGCCATTAATTACTTCCTTAAAATGTTGATTTTCCTTTTGAATTGGTGTTCTTGTGAAGTGCCCGATTGAGTGCAAGATGAAAAACTTTGACAAAGTGCTTTTTTTTCACCAACACTCACATTCTGTGTTACCAAATGACTTTTTGAAAATCTTAACAATGCAGTTAGAAAATCATAACATGATCAGATTTACAAAAAGGAAATCACCATTTGACAGATTAATTAGATTTTCTTGAGGATGTGAATAATGGTGTGCATAAAGGGGCACTAGTAGATGTAATACATTTAGATTTCCAAAAGACATTCAATAAGGTGCCACACAAAAAGGTTATTTGTTGAGCTAAATGCTCATGGAGTTGGGATAACAGATTAACATGGATAGTAAGGTTAGATAAAGGTTAGAAAATAGGTATAAATAGGGTAATTTCAAATTGGTAGATTATAACTGGGAAGTGCTGCAAGGAACAGTGCAGATCAGTGCTTAGCAATTTACAATCATTATTCCTGGCTCTGATGGATGAGACTGAGAGTAATGTATTGATTTTGCTGTTGGTACAAAGCTAAGGGAGAACGTAAGCTTGTGTGAGAATGACCCAAAAAGGCTACAAAGCGCTATAGATGGTTAACTTAATAGACTACAAGGAGGCAGATAGAGCATAATGTGGGGAAATGTGAGGTTGTTCGCTGTTGTAGTAACATTGAAAAGGAGAATATCTTGTAAAGGGTGTCAAACTTCATGATGTTGATGTTTAGAGAGACTTGGGTCTATTTGTGCTTTAGACGTAGGAAGTCAGCATGTAATTAAGAAAGAAAATAGCATGTGGACCTTTATAGCCAGGATATATAGTATAAAAATAAAACAGTCTCACAACAATTTTATGCTTCATTGGGGTCACACCTGGACTACTGTGCACAATTTTAGTTTCATATAGAACTGAGGTGTACACTTTCATTGGGAGCGGCACAGCAAAGGTTCACTAAATTGGTTCATGGGATGACAGGACTATCCAGTGGTGACAGGCTGAGTAAATGTAGTTTATATTCTCTGCAGTTCAAAGGAGTTGCTAAGATGCTTTGTTTCTCCCAAATATGGTATCTGGAACATTGATCCACAGACATAGGATTGAAATGAGAAGAAACCCCTCACTTAAAGGGTAATAATCTTTGGAGTTCTCTACCACAGGGTTGTAGATGCTCCATTATTTATAATATTTAAGGTTGAGATGGTCAAATCTTTGGTTTCTTAGGGTATCAAAGGACATTTAGAATGAAAAGGGGACACTTGGAGATGAGGTTGCTGATCAACCATAATTGAATGGGGAACAGGCTTGAGTGGCCATATAGTGCACTCCAGTTCTTATTTCTCATGATCTTATATTCTTTTGTCACATGTTTACGTACATAGATTTTTCTAATGCTTCTGACAAAGTTGCAGGGATGCTGAGCAAAGTTCCAATATGGACTCAAAATGACTAATCTATTGATGATACACAAAGTCAAAAAACTTCATATAAACTTTTCTTTTCACAGTTAAACCCTATGAAAGGATGAACCTTGCAGAGTTAAAGGAAGCAGAGGATGAGTTTGATGAGGAGGATGAACGTGCTATTGAAATGTACAGGTTAGTGCGAATAACTACTGAAGGGCTACATTTCTTTTTTTCATTCAGAGGGTCAGAGAGCAAATTTTGAAACAATGAAAGATTAGACATATATTCCACTTTTGATAAGAACAACCAAAAAATGTTTTCCAACAAAAATGTTCCCTCCACCTCTTCTCACTTCCCTTTCACAATACCGATAGGGTTGCCCGGTCCTCACTTACCATTCCACTAGCATCCACCTTCAAAGGATCATAAACTGCCATTTCTGCCATCTCCAGTAGGATGTCACTACCAGACACATATTCCGCTCCCCTCTCTCGTCAGCCTTCTGCAGGGACCATTCCCTCAGCCTGGTCCATCCTGGTCCACTCCTCCTCCACTCCCAACACTGCTCCACACCTCCATGGCACCTTCCCCTGCAATTGCAGGTGCAGCACCTGCCTATTTATTTCCTCCCTCCTCACCATCCAAGGCTCCAGCCACACCTTCCAGGTGAAGTAGCGATTTCCTTGCACTTCACTCAATCTAGTCTACTCTATTCACTGCTCACAATGTGGTCTCTTCTGCACTGGTAAGATGAAATGCAGACTGGGCGACCCTTTGCAGAACACTTATGTTGGTTCTGCAAAAATGATTCTGAGCTTACAGTTGCCTTTGGCTTGAAGCCAGGGTGCTCCTGACCATGGATGAACCCACCTCCCACATGACCCCCGTTCCCATCCATGATACACCATTTCCTTCAACACAGATCCAGGTGCATCCCTCCATGATGCTCAGCACTAAATAGTACCTCAGAAGATGGTCCACCATCACAAGCAGCATACATCCCTCACCCAAGGATATTGATATCTGACGTTTACAAACTCCTCATGGCTATCATGGCACCTCTCTGATCCAATTGCAGGATGCTCAGGGAGTTCAGATCTGCATTTTAGGGCACACAGCAACTGGCATCAAAAGGCAGCTGCAAGGACACTTTGCACCCATGTGTTGCCATGCCTATTTGTGCATTCATAAAACAAGGAGCCTGCTTTGCTGGTCAGCAGTGCTCAGTCAAGGGCGTGGACTTCTCACTGTATGGCAGTGTTGCTATGTCAGTCTTGCTTGCAGCCCTTTCGCGCCACCAGCAAAGAAAGTCAGACAGACACTTCCTTGTAGCTTCTTCCACACAGGAGTCTTTTCCCACTCCGTCCAAACTCACTATCACAGTCACTTCTAACATCAAGCTTAAGGCTGGCTGCAGCCGGTCATGTCATCACAGCTCACTGCTCCTCCAATCACAGGGTGTTTCTCTCTCTCAGCAGCAAAGCACAGGAGAGAAAAAGGCCTGTGATTAGAGAAGCAGCTACTAACAGACCCTGTCACTTCCATTTGTATGTATTTTGGAAATTGGCGGTGGGCCAGATGGAAGTGCAGGGTGGGCTAGATTCCAGACTGCATATTGGACAAATCAGGTAAATTGAGGTGAATTTCTCTGCTACTCGAATTCTGCGCCACAGACCCTTAACAGAAACCTATGGAACTGGACTTAATCTACATAGGAGGGGTTTGATTAAGTGTATTGGGCTGAAAATGGCTACCTTTCAGATCCAAAAAAAGTGTGAACATTTTCTCTGGCTCAAAATAGATCTCAGTTGTATCTATGATAGTAGGAACTGCAGATGCTGGAGAATCTGAGATAACAAGGTGTAG